TACAGGCTCACAAGCGATGCTCTAATAGTGCCATTCCCATATGTGCAGGAAAGTCTCCAAGGCACTGAGTTGTACTACTCAGATAGGTAATAACTTAAGGATATGTCCTCTTCATTTTTGATGAAACTGACTGCTTTAACACTGAGCCGTCTCCAGTGGGGGACTAACATGACTACTGGATATTTACAGGTGATCTTGTATTAGGATGTACTAGGCAAAAGCTCTGCTGAGGTAAAAAAAAAAAAAAAAAATTAACAAAACAAAGGGAAGTGTGCTAGAAAAAATGTAAATTACTTCTTTTACTTCTTCCAGTTTCTTTTACTTGTAGATTTTCGGAAACATCTGTCACCTTCTCCAAATATCACAGAGCACAATGGCGTAGACTCAAAGACAGAATTTACCAGTTATTGTCTCCAGGTTCATAGATGTGGCTAGCAGACAACTAGATACTAAAACTACATATTTGGTACCTGAGCAGGAGACCAAAAGGGGCAGAAATGGATCTTCTGCAGCATCATCAACAAAATTAATTCAATCAGTCATCTTAAAACTACACTGCTATTGGGTTTTGCAGTGATATTCTTCACCATAGCATCTTGATATTTGCCATTCCAAGGGATTAAAGCTTTTGGGAAAAAATGGCCGACAGAGTATTTCCAAACACACCTAATCCAGTCTGACTAAACTGCACTCATTGGTTGATCACCTGTCTATAACTGGGAAACTTTATTTGGAAACATAGACTTTCTATTGAAAATAAATGTGTTTTGAGGTGCAAATATATGTTTCTCCAAGTACAGTGGTTAGCTGGAATAAAGTAATTTTTATTAAGCGCTGAAACATTTTTCTGAAATACGGTATCATATGTAGCTGTACTTAGCACATGCACAGGTTTAAGGTGATTTCTGGCCTTTGTTGATTATTTCTTCGAAGGTGCTTTGTATTTAAGATTCCATTACATAGACAGTAGTATCCTTTAGAACCCTCAGCAAGTTTCAGATGACACCGAGCTGAGCGGTACCATTAACATGCCTGAGAGACAGGAGGCCATCCAGAGGGACCTGAGCAAGCTTGAGAAGCGGGCCCGTGCAAACCCCATGAGATTCAACAAGGCCAAGTGCAAGGTCCTACACATGGGTCAGGGCAATCCCTGGTGCCAGTACTGGGGTATGAAGGGTTTGAGAGCAGCCCTATGGAGAAAGATTTGGAGATACTGTTAGTTGAAAAGCTGAACATGAGCCAGCAATGTGCTCTCACAGACCAGAAAGCCAACTGTATTCTGGGCTGCTTCAAAACACGTGTGGCCGAGCAGGCCAAGGGAGGTGATTCTGCTGCTCAACTGTGCTCTGGTGAGAACTTGCCTGATGTTGGAGCAGGTCCAGAGGAGGGCCACAAAAATGATCAAAGGACTGGAACACCTCTGCTATGAGGAAACACTGAGAGAGTCAGGGTTGTTTAGCCAGGAGAAGGGAAGGCTCCAGGGAAACCTAACTGTGGCTTATCAGTACTTAGAGGGGGCCTGTAAGAAAGATGGAGACAATATTTTAACAGGGCCTGTTGCTATAGGATAATGGGTAATGGTTTTAAACTAAAAGAGAACCAATTTAGGTGAGATACAAAGGCAAATTTTTTTACAGTGAGGCTGGGAAACACTGGAACAGGCTGCCCAGAAGGGTGGTAGTTGCCCCATCCCTGGGCATTCAAGGTCAGGTTGGATGGAGCAGCTTGACCTAGTTGCAGATATCCCTGCTGAGTGCAGGGAGCTAGCATTAGATGACCTTTAAAGGTCCCTTCCAACACAAAGCATGAAGTGATTCTATGAATTTGGGATTATAATGGCAAATATTTTGTGAAAAAAATATACTTTGCGAATTTAAACATAAAACACATTTTATCATTTAAGCAACTTAGTAGTCCATACGAATTCTTTAATCCGTATGTCAAATTTGTATTTATATATCTCATGTGAAGACGTTGATATTTCCATTTCACTATATCATCAGAAAGATTTTTTTAATGCTGGAAGTAGTGAGCTATTGAGACAAAACACTGTCCTAAAATGTTGCTAAAATGGTACCTGTGGTGTAAAAGTGCTGTTATTTGGGCAAATATGTGAACAGAAGTCTTAGAGGAGGTTGATTAATTACTGATAATAAATGTGTTAGCAAAATATCAGCAGGGAAAACAGGTATAGTGAACCTTGATTTTAAGAAAGTCTATATTAATATCTGTTACAAGTTTCTGCTCAGACTTCAGACCTAAGGATTAACTAGAAGAGTGTGTAAGTGTGCATAATTAAATACTAAGTCTATCAAAGTTATGTTACAGCTATGACAGTGGATACAACTACCCTGTGGCTTTGAGAACATGAGTGAACTAATCTGTAGCAGTTCCAGATGATGCGAATTAAAAAGCTGGAAAATGTAACAGATCTGAAAATCAAATTATCCTCCAATCCAACAACAGAAAAATGTATACCTGCATAAACTCGGGCTAAATTTGCCAGACCTTCATTGTGTTTGCTTCTTTCCCTCTGCTGTTTTCAAATGCACAGCTTGTTTATCTAACACAGCTGTCTCCATGCAATTTGTTTGAGGTTTATGCCTCAGGCATCATCTCTTTGTTTGTGAATCCATCACACAGACATACCGATGCCCTAGTTGATGGTAACAGCTGATTTTTCACCTGTAATGGATTTGTCTGTAAGAATCTCTTCAGGAAAAACTGTGACTAAAACTTAGAACTTAGAATCATAGAATCAACTTGTTTTAAATAAGGTCAAGATGAATTTGTATTAAATGATATGCTATAAATATTTGCGGTTGTGATTCAAGTGGATATGTAGCTTCCATACTAAAATATCTTTTGACATAACTGCAAAAGTTGAAAGGGGAACAGGTCACAGAAAATATTTCTAGCAGCCAGTTTTCAATAAGGTTGTGAATTGACAACTTTAGGGGGCTGTTTCTTACCAGAGGGTTTCCCTCTTTGCACTGAAAACTTAAAGCAGGACAGAAGATTTGAGATGTCTGAGAAAGCCAGTGTTCTTGAGCTTCTACAGCTATTAACTACCGTGGTCCAGAATCTAGACCTTTATTTCAAAAGCTCTGAGCTTTGTTTGCAAAGACAACCACAGAAGTGCCATGTAAGCATGCAGGTAGGTGTCTAGTAAAATTTTAGGCTGCATTATTCTCTAGAAAATATCTGGCGTCTATTGTCCCACATAACTTTTTCAAGTATACTTGGGAAGGGAGATCTGTATACCTGTTAAGTTTCACCTAGTGAATAAAACAATGTAGCATGCAGTTATTTGGGGGAATTGCATTTTTTGTGAAAGTATTGACATTCCTTTGCATCCATTCTGTTTTCTTCTTTTGAATTTTGAAGCTACTTTGACAGCTGACACTTGTGTTACTAAACTGCTAGTAGTGACTTCTGAGCTTCTGCAGCTAGGAATATGAAGGAAAAGGTACTAAGTAGAGTTTGTATATTTGGAAGATCTTGGGATTCCATGACTCTTCTGTCCTCAGTCCTGCTTCAACATCCCTCAGACCCCCCCAAACATACAGTTATGTTTAGGGGGTGACTTTTCTTAATTTACAGGGATAGTGTGTTGTCCAGTTCTCATATACTGTACATTTTTATTATTATTTTTCATTGTAAGGCTTGTGATTTTAGAGAGGGAAATGGTCTGCTAACTGTTCAATCTTCCTAGCAATACAAGATTGGTCCCCATTTCCATTTATACTTCCTAGTGTTCTCTTCAAGCTTAATTTTAGGTATCCTAAAGAACAGGACTCTCCCGTAGGGGTATTTGCACAGCCTAGTACTGTCAGTACTGCCAGGAGGTTCCTCCTGCTATTAATTTTGAATTTATTCCTTCTCCATTTCATTCCATTACCCTGAATTTATACTTCCTGTTCTCTCTAAAGAATTTCTTCCTCTTCTGTGTGTCTATACTCTGCACATGCTTGCAGTGGTTGTTTCAGCCCAGTTATTATTTCATTACCATAGTCATGCTTACATCTTTTAACCTTTCCTTGTATCAACTGAATTAGGTTCTTTACCAGTCCATTTCTTTACTCTGAGTTATCTCAAATTTGACAAGAAACTTCTGATATTAAGATTGCCAGTATTTTTTACTTAGTATGGCTGTTTTGTAAAATACTTAAAACTAGTTCCAAATTGTTAGTTTTTACTGCAAATAATTTACTGTTGGATTATTGACAGTCATTCAGAATGTCTACAGCATGTTTAAGCACTGAATAAACGTATAAATTTACCAGTGAACATTGCACATTCAGATGTGCCTAGATGCAGAAAGTAGCATATCAGCTTCATGACCTGTACCACAAGGTCATATGCAGACTGTCTCCTCTATCTATGAAAGAATTGCTTTTGTTTATTATGACCTTAGCTGCAAAGTTTCCGTTATTAAACACTTCTGTGTTTTCAGTAGGAGGCTTTTGTCCAGATGTTATGACATTTACATTATAGTGCCTCATATCCTAGCCCTTTCCCCCACTCCCAGATGTGTGAATTATTAGTTAGCTTTCCAGTATGAATAATCTGTGTGGAGAACTGTGGTCAAGTCTTGGTTACACTCCAAGCCAGAGTGGTATGGCATGTGAAAACAGAGGGTTTGCATCATTCGTTTGCTCATAATACTTTGTATATCCTGCTGTCGTGGGATTTACTGTTATTCACAGCCACTGCTTGAACAGCACATGCATTGTGGAACAATCTGAGGCGCGCTGCATCCAGACAGAAGGAAAACTTACTAAAAATTACTACTACTACTTAAGCATGTACTGCGTATCTAAGGAAGGATCTGCTTACTGAAAATACTGCATAAAACTTCATAGCTTTGTTAGAATGGCACATTCCAGCATGCAGGTACTATGGTGATGGGCATTCTGGAAAACCCAACGATAGCTGGGTAGGTTCCTTAAACGCAATGTGTATGTTTCACAAGGCATTCTTTTGGTTTTGTTTTGTAGCCTAACAGCAGTGGTCAAGTAGTAGGGAAAATGCCTGGCCATTTTACTCCAGTTTTGGCACCCTCTCCCCATCACAGTGCGGTGCGACCTGTGACCCTGACCATGACAGATACTAAACCCATCACTACATCCACTGAAGGTGAGGCATCTTCACCTACAGCAACCAGTAAGTATTTCTTTAGGAAACAAAATATGTCCATCAAAGATTCGATCTGATTCCAAATCGAGGCCAGAAAAAGGTGCCTTTTCCTACTATTTGACCAAGAGGATGCTCATCATTTTACATGGAGAGCAAGAACAATCTGGCTGCAAAGCTTTTCCTCTCCAAATTTAAACCACTGCATCATATTTTGTGAAACAAAGTTTGTGACATGACCACCAAAATGAAAGGGAAAAGCCAGTATATTTGACCAGTATTCAAAAACAGAGAAAATGTAGTTTTTCATCTAAGGTGGACATTGTTAAGACATGGAGAAGCACACCGAGATAGCAAGGTTTTACAATGACCCGCAGATGGAATTCCAAACAAAGACTGGATCATTTGCTCCTCAATGAGCTTTCCTACAGAAATCAAGCCTTGTCAAAATGCATACTGAATCCGAGCTATGACGATTGCATGTTGATATAGGTTGTGTCATTTTTAGCAAAAAACCCTGATGTGGCAAAATAAAATTTTAATTCCTTGTCAATGCAGCAGTGGATGGTAGATCCATTGCTCTTTTTTAATAAACAACAACAAAACCCAAAACAACAAGCAAACCCTAACTTTAATGTTTTACTCTTTACTACTATATAGGACCTTATTATTTTTCCTATTATCTTCAATGGAATTACAGCTTTGGCAATAAGAGCAAAGGTGTTGCTATGTATAGGGTACTTTCTTCTCTTCCAAATATTTATCTTACGCTCAGTGATGCAGAATGTTGCTTTTAAACTACACTCTGCATTTCTGTTGTTCTGTTTGAACTTTTATTTGGACTTGAGATGGTCATTAATACCAGTATTTACCAGAGTTGTGAAGATCTTTAGGAGACACTTCCAAACATACACTTTGGAGAAAATTTGCTAGTCTTTAAAAATACTAATATCTTTAGGGTCTGTTACATTAAAACAACTTGTTTAGCATTTGATCTGTGAATCCAGTTCTTAACTTTTGGTCTGCCATTATACGAGACCAGAAACTGCATGGTTCTTAGGTGTTACATTACTTTAAATTTTTTCATTAGAATGTAAAGCAGAGCTAAGGCTCAAATGCATAGGAATGGCTGAGATGTAAAGGAGGAAAACTGGATATGCCTTTATTATAAAAGGGCAGTAGTAACTTTTGGACAAACTATTAAGCATAAAGAAATAATTATATGGATAGATTTATGGAAGTATTTTAGCTATTTTTTTAGTATAGCAGATTTTTAAAAGGTAGTGGAGTATATCTGCACCCTTCCTGATCATTTGTGGTACAGTTCTGCACCTTTTAGCAAGGGTTAATTTTAGCAGCGAACAGGAAGCTGTTACTCTAAACTTTTGATCCAGAACAAAAAAATGAAAAAAACTGGGTTCATGCATAGTTTTAAGTATTCATTATTTCATTCTGCTGGCTATTTGACTGATCTAGATAGCTGTCTCAGATGAGGTCAGAGTTTCTAATACAAATGGCAAAAAACCCCAAATATAATGTCAGAACTGTAGTGGAATGTGTTCTGGTCATCTCAACAGATTATTCACCATTACGGGAAAGCAGATCATCTGTTCGTTGTTCTAGTACTAAACAAAAAATTTTGACCGTATTTTCAAGTTTAGTCAACACCCAGTTTCTTGTGCAATTCATCGGAATGTGGGCACCTGACTTCCTGTGAACCTTAGAAATCTCAGATTAAGTATTTGAAATAAGGCCTCCTCATGTTCCCACAGCAGTGGGCAAGTAACTTCTTACCTAACGATCCAATGCCTTTCACTACAGCACATAAATAACAAAACCCACTATTTACAAATTTTATCTGAATGTGCCAGTTCCGCATATGAGATAGAATATAAAAGCTATGTGTCCAGAGTGTTATGCTTTTCAGAGCAGTGCAGCAGTCTATCTGCTTGGTACAGAGTTTTGAAACTGGATAGATAACTTTAACAGGAAAAAGAAAAGGAACATAGCTTGTTGATGAAGAAAATAGCAAAAAAATGAGGACTCATGTGCTGCTGATATATAAATTCCATGTGAATACATATAAGTTGTATTATCAGTCATAACAGACCACACAGAGAGCTAATGTAAACTTAATGGGAAAATCAAGGCTATTTTAAAGCACAGTTCTACATTTATTTGGAATAACTGAATGACTGCTTCAAAATGTATATAGATATACACACAAAACATATTCTTAGCCAACAAGTCATCATTATTAATCAGTCTAATGAGAATGAAATGGTAAATGATTAGCACTGCTTTTCATTGTGCAGTAGCAGAATTGTTTTGAGTGACAAAGAACAGCAGCCTTTGATAATACTTGGGGAACTCTGTGGCTTCCACTATAATTTAGTTCTAAGAACCGATTAATTTTATGACAGTTTTTCAGTAATGCCTGCTTACTGTATGAAGCATTTTTTTTTTTAATTTAATGGATTTATTTGCTTGTATTTGTTGTGTGACTTTAATACTAACAGGCCAATTCGACAAGTACTGCCACCTAGTTCCTCACCAACATCTCTGTGTATGTCTGTTCAATTTTAGTAGTTTTGCTTTGTCTGCAGGCAGGTTTCCAGGTTCTGATGCTACAGGCTACCGTGTGGACATCTCCACACTGGGAACTGGAGTAAGAGCACCTACCTCATTTCACAAATGCCATCAAAAGCCATGAGAGGGTAATGACTTTTGGGGATTACTAACAGAGACCAGAGAGGAATGTGACCTACAGGTGAAGGATCCGTATCATGTAACTAATCCCAGCATCACCTGCCATTCCCTTTCTCCTCAGAAATGGATTTCTTTAATCTAGTGTAGCAGGCAGTGAGAGTCTCCCTTAAGTTATCACCTTGGGAAACTGTTGTTCCCTGATGCATAGGGGAGCTGAACATTTAATATTCAATTGCATAGTAAAAATTATCTCCCTTCTCCTGAAAATACTAATCAGATTGCATCCTATTTCCAAAGGCCTGTAAAGATTAATTTCATGCCATGTATGTAAACTGAACTTTTGATTCCAATTTTTGTAGTTTTTTTTTTTTTTTTTTTTTACAGTCTTGTGAATGGGCCTTCGTGGCAGTAAGAATAATATATGTGCACTAATATTTTCACTCAGTGTTGCAACCTCAGTCACTTCACTAGTGCCTTAGATTGGTGTAATGGAAAGGAGAATCATGCTCATAATTTCTTCAAATACATACCCTATTTAAAACTTAAAAAAAAATATATATATTAATGAGAGGAACTTTTATTCCACAAGAAACATCATTATGATCTACACGTGCAGCTTCCATTGAAGTTTATAGGAATTTACACGTGCTTTTCTGAACTGGGTCAATTTTTTCTTTTGCATTCTGTTGAAGTTCAAATAAAGGAAAAAAACACAGACACATCCTATATATTGCAAAATCATAACTCTGGATCTCTCGTATTTGTACTGTACCTGCACAGGGTAATAATTATGATAGGTTGGTATTTTTATCAATCTGTTTTGTTCTTCCTTAATCAGCCTACACAGCCTCAGGCACATCCCAAGCCAATCGATATGTGGGACTAAGCCCAAGAGACCCATCCTTCCTACACCAGCAACAGGTGGGCAAGTTTCACATAGGTGTAATGATATAGAGAAGCTTTTGCAATTTTACCTTTCTACGTGCTGCCACTGTTATCTTGGATCAGACTGGAATCCTGAGGCTTTCAGTATTTGTCATCTGCAGATGAAATTTATTCAAAACAAAACTGAACCCTTTCAGAAACATCAATTTAGAACATGCTTCATTTCTCAGATTTATACCATCTTAAGGAGCTTCTTAATCATATTTCTTTCAATTATTTTATTTTTTCAAGCACCCATACATGTAAACTTTAAATTTTTTTTTTAGGAAAGAGAATGACTTATGTAAGGAGCAAATATTTATTTAAAAATAATTTTTTTAAAAAAGGCAAATTTTCCAAAGCAAAAGCCAAGTTACTATTTTCAAGCTATTTTTTTCCCCAGATGTTTAAGCCTACATTTCTTCATTTTAGTTGTAGAAGTTTAGTTATAGCACCAAATTCTCAGTGCAACACATCATCATCTCTAGTTTAATAGGTTTAAATTGGTGTGGTGATTTCAAATGTGATAACACCATGGTTTTGTTCCAGTTTCTTAAATCGTTTATGTTTCAAGTAGCATTTTAAGTTTTACATCTCGTTAATGCTGTAAATTTAATGTCAATTAAGTGTTTGCCTAAACTGTGAAAATACACAACCAAGATTAATGGTGACTTACAAACAAATTAGCTGCGATCAGTAGCAAAGCCATGCATATAGGGAAATACTACAGAATACTACAGAAATGCTAGTAACAAGAATAAATTCAGACCCTTTAGAACTTTTACATGTTTTATGATGTGTGCTTGTGTTGCTCATAGATCTTAACAGTAGAGGATTTCAAAATTAACAGCATGTAAAATGTAAGGAAAAAAGCTGAACGTGGCAGTAAGAAAAGGGCTGTTAAATAGACCTTGCTATTTATTTTACTGTATTTTGTTCTTAGGCTTGGGTTCCTGTGAACAGTTGCTACACCTGCCTGTTTCATTTTTCAGTAAAGTCTACCTGTTCAGTGTTTGCTGAGGTACAGCTGAAGTGTGCTTCAGCTGAAACTCCCTATCCCTACTCACTCCCAGGGCGAGGTGGCAGTATGTACCTTTTAAAGGTCACCACATGAGGAATTCAGAGAGAACCATAAAGATGACCATTTTTTCAAGACAGTTGATGATTTGCCAACTTTTTTAAAACTAGTGAGATCTAACTGGAAACATCTGTACACTTTTATGAAAATACCAAATAACAGCTAGTGGTTTTGCCAACCATTCATTTTTTTTCAGTAAATTTTCTCATGTATTGCTTTTTTTTAAGCTTTCACAGGTTGTTGTATTATGAAATGTGTTATAAGTACTATGACCTGGTTCTTTTAAAAATATATAGTGTATGTGTACTGTATTTTAAACCACAACATCTCTCTTTTTAAACACAATGCATGTAATTTCTGGATTTAAAGTGAAGCTTGACATAGTATCTTTTGAAAAGTCTCTGACATCCAGTTCATTTGAGTGTGTGCAATGATTCTTTTTTATCACTACATGTTTTTAGACAATTTTTTTTCTGAAAATTTGCTACTGCTTAAGGCCACTCCACCTTCTATGTAGTTCATTGAAAGAGTCACAAACTTCTTGTCACATGCCAGAAGGTAGTGTCAGCATGTTTAATTTTATCTTGGCTGAGTTTATGACATGTAAATCATATATAGTTTTTTTCGTGCCTCTTCTATATACTTTTGGCTTTGGGTATATTGAAATAGAAAGGACCATAAAAGTGAGAGGGATCTCAAGGGTCATGACAGGCTTTGGTGTTTACGTGCACTGTGTCTTATACTCCCTTTCATGGTAAACCATGTGGCCAGATACTTCAGGGGGAGGGGAGAATTAATTAGGCCTCACATACACTTCATAAACAGAAAAATTCCTCAATGCCACTGCCTGAAACCAATTTGTTCTAAAGTATATTGCTTTGCAGCCTCATTATATTCAAGAGCACCAACTGGTGACCCATGAGACATTTAGTAAATTCAAAATTTGTCATGATGCCATCTTTGCTGTGAATTCTCTGTTCTTTTCCAACTTACGCAATAGATGCATATCTATTCTGGCCTGAGTGGGTTTAGGGCGTGTGTGTGTCTGTGTGTGTGTGTCTGTCTCTGTCTCTGTGTGTGCTTACACACAGAAATAGGTACAAATTTAGAGAACAGTATGTACTGCTGAAACCATTTGAAAGAACAGAAAATTTTAACCAGAAAGCTTTTTCTAATGGATAAGTACAAATATATATGTGCATGTTTATTTTTCTAATGAAGTAGTTAGCTTTACTCACTTAAATGCTAAAGGCATCTCTGAGATCACAGTGCTGTATGTATTTATTACACAGAAAGAAAGGTAGAGCACTGAAATTGTCTAAACAACGTTAATAGAGCAAAGGTCATCCTTTAGTAAAGGCAGAAATGAGATGGATTTACTATGTTCTTCTATTACCTTTCAACTATTTAAAAGAGACCACTCTTCTTGTGGCAGATTTTAAATGCATTTGGTTTAAAGCAGCCAATGATGAATGAAAGGAAAAATCAAGGAGTATATGAAATAAAGGCAATCAATCATTTTGTATTAGTAGACAGAAATTCTAAATTAGAAAGCCAGTGGATTTAGTTCCAGAGAAGTCTTTTAAACATTCACCATACCCTGTAATGGACATTGACCCCTTAAGAATAAATATTGTCACTGGTACATTTTTTTACTTCATTGGAGGAGTCTTTGTGAAGATTTATTCTCTTTGGTTATGAGAAATATTGGCATGTACAGTTGAGTACTTTTTGTTGTTGTTAAAAAGAAGCATTATGTAACCTGTTTAAATTACAGTAACCACAATAAATTTGAAAGTTACTAATGTATTTTGCAAGATGCGCTTACCTGGAGTCTTTTCACAAAGTGACAGTTTGATAGAACTTCCATTAAACAAATCATAGCACAACCTATCTGGAATGCTCTCATTTAGATGGAAAGCACTGAATAAAACTTTGAGAGACAGTGCCTAATAGCACACATAGTAGCAGCGCATTTTCTTTTACAGATCTGGATACTGTGAAAAATATGCTTTTTACATGCATTACTTACATGCTATGTTGATAGTTAGGAAGGCAAGGTTCTGATGAGGAATTATAACAATGCAGTCCGCTTTCTGCTGCAATTGTTGTTGGGTCTTGTTACCTACCTTGAAATGCCAGGTGTTTCTGTATGCTGACATGAATATTCACAAAACATAGCTCTTGCTTCAGAGGCATCTAGGGAATCACATGTATCTTATAACTTTGTGGTAAAAGAGTAACATCAACCCTGGTCTTAACAGTCTATTACAAGCTGTTAATTAGCACTTGGTTTGTTTTTCTTGATTCATCGTCAGCTTCTGAGGGTTGTTAAATATTGATAATGTAACTGCAGGGAGGGCACTGTAGGAAGGGTCACGGAAAGTAATAAGGGCAGGTAACTAACTGAGTAAGTTTTTCTTAATTTTATTATTGGTGGTGGGTGGGATTATTTTATGAAGTCAAATCTAGTACTGGGTGCTCTTCATCTGTGCTGAGAAATGTTTTAAATGCACTGCACATAAAAAAAATGTTTGGATAATCCTCACAATTATATGGGAGCACTTCCCCCCCCCCCTTCTTTCTCTGATTTTCATCTACTGAAATGTGTGGTTTCTAAGCAACAGACTGAGAAGACTGAATCAAATTCAGTCTTCTACAAGGGGACACAGTTCCTTGCCAGATTCTAGATATGTCTCCATTCTTTTGGCTAAATAATTTTAATGGAGAGATCATTAGTTCACTAACAAAGTCTAAATGACCAGAATTCTCATAGTTATGAGAATTCTCATGGTAATGGAATTTCTGTAGCCTTCTTTTATTACTGTTCTCAACTTCATGATTTTTTCATGCTCTTGAAATAACGGACACTTAGAGACAGGTTGATGTGGTTTCTGGCTATAAAAACTAGAATGGTGACAGAAATACTAGTCATACATTTTACCCATATAAACAGTATGAAAATGTGGATGGATAGATAGACATTAATATTTTTAGCAATTACAGACCAATGGTTTAATAATTAATATTTCTGTTGGAATGAATGAAATAACTGACAGGTTTTCATAGAATCCTAGAATCATAGATTTCTTTCTTGGCCATTTATTTAATTTTAATACAACTTGGAGCCTTTATGGGTAATACTATTTTTAATTATAAAATATAAACAAATGGGATAGACATTGAGGTCTGTGAAGACAATGTCGTCTAGAGCTTTCCTGTCTGTTCAAGTAAATTCTAACTAATGCTGGCCCAGTTACTGAGGAGCTAGTGAAATCTTCCAATATTTACGCTGATTAATGCAGTAACATGGTTTTCACAAGAGCTTGGACTTTCTGGATGTGGTGTGTGGTATGCATGATTTTCACACGGCTTTGACATTTATGAGTGAGGCATTTGCCATGCGTGTAGTAGTAAGAAACACTTCAGGCCTCTAAAATGGGAAATCAGAAAACAGGAGACAGCTCTTTATTTCCTACTAACAAATGCCCTGCCTCTCTGGTAGGTAGTTGTTCTTACCAGATGCATCCACTAGTTATTGAATCACACAGTACAAAATGGAGTTCTCTTTGTAATATTCATCATGAAAATTGTAAACTTAAATGTCCACTGAACATGGAGTATCCATTTGAAAACTCTTTTGGGTGGCTGTTGCTTTTGCTTTCAGCAGAAGGCTGAAAGAAGAACACAAGTGGATTCTTAAACAGAACTTCTCAATAAAGCCAGGAAACAGGTTATCAACACTTAAGCTGTTCTTATTGTGTCCCTTATCATAATTGACAGTTTGACGTAAAACTAGGTCACATGACCACCAGGGAGGTATGTAAATGGATAAGAGGTCACCTTTCACATATGCCTGCTGGAAAGGAAACACATTTAAAGGAAGTTTTAAAACAATAGCAATATGCAAATACTGAGTTTTATGGGCTTTTCTCAACTAACAGAAACTATAGCAGTCTCCTCTTACACTTTCCAAAATATATATCTACTTTCACTAGCGATAACAGAAGCTTGGAATTAATGTTGGACAGCCACTCTTTAACTAGGAGTATACAAAACATGCTTGAAAATTATTCAGACTATGATTAAAGATTGAGCAGTTGACTGGAGGTTTTTAGTGTGCTTAGAGTTTGCATACTTAAAACTCTGCAGGATGGTTGTGCTTGGAAGGTCCCCAGTTTAAACTGGAATGGCAGCTGTTGTGAAATCTAGCTCTTGTGTAGGACTTCAGTGTGTCTCACAGCAGTAGAAAGTGCAAATCACTTCCCTGGCTTCTTGCAGAGGGCAAAACAGGAGCAGGGAGGTGGCTGACTTTCAGGGAGGTGGAAGAGTTAGAGGAAGTACTTGGTCTACTGTTCTGCTTCTGCTTGGGCGTGTGGCCCCTTCACATGATGCAGCTAAGGCAGGTGAGGGAGTTGCACTGCCTCCTTGGAGAAAAATTTGCAGCAGGCTTTGTGCTCCCTCCTACTTCATGCCTGCAGCAGTGAGGACCTATCACAGGGCTGCAAGGCCACTGCAGCTCCGCATGTCAGGAAATGGCTGGGCTGCCTGGTGGGTTCCCCATCTGCTGCGAGGCTGGGCATCCTTTTCCATTTCAGAATACAGAGCTATGTTCTTTATCTGTGTGGTTAGGTCAGAGATAAATATAAAAAAAAAGATTGATAATATTGTGTGGATCGTAGGTGTTACTGAAATGGGGTTCATGTGGCTTGCCTTGCTGAAAAAACAAAGCCATAGGACTGAAAAAAAGGCTTCTGGAAAAGGCTTTTCAACATGTCACATTCCAAATCAAACCTCTTATTTTGCATATTTTTCAGAAAATAATGTTTTTTCAATGTTTATTATTAATGTCTCATATGTACTGTTTCTTAAGTCCCTCTACTGAGGAATCTAAGTTTTCTCAAGAAGCCTTCAAGTAGTATCCTGCTTCTCCCTTTCATATGTCCTGCAAAGACACACTCTTAGGTGGCCTACTGTGGGTGAGAGTGAATGTGTCTTCTTGTCTCCAGCTAGCACTATGGAAAGATTTCAGATGTCAGTTTACTCTGAGGACTCTTAACTAGCCTGAAAATTTTCATTATGACTCCAGACAACATATAGCACTCAAAATACTGTACTAAAGTGTCCTACATCCTTCCAAAGCTTGGTACTCATGTCAGGTCTGTGCCCTTGGGCTTTCACTACTGGACTGTCCGGACCTCCTCCACCTGGACTGTCTGGCCATCCTCCAGGGGAAGCATTCCCACTGCTGTTATGAGCAAACATCTTCTTCCATCAAGTGGAGCCAGGGCACATAGAGCTCTTTTAAGCTTCTGCAGACTTTTTACCCAGAAAGCACTCAAAATACTTGATGGATGCAGATTCAGACTTTGAAAGTGGTATTTCCACATACTTTCAAAAGTGCATTTCTAAATCTTAGACATCCTGATCTCTAAGGAGGAGTGTTTTGCGAGAGGAAATTTTATGTGATGGAGGAAAACCATGATTTTCCTGGAAATTTAGTTTTTAAAGACAACACGGCAGTTATGTGAGCCTGCTAAGGAGTGTGGAGCAATAATCTTTAACATTGCGAAGGTGGTCTTCAGCACAGCTGGTGCAATTCTGGGCTTATCACAGAAGCTGTTGTCGTACAGACCTGTAGTTCTTCAAGGTGGTGTCAGTATTTCAAGTATTTCAGTTTATACTACCTGTAAATCTGGTGTAGCACAAACCTTCATATACATGTGTGTGCGTGTGTCTACAGTATATATATAAAATGTACATATTCTATTATTACCATGACAGTATTTAGAGGTATATGCATTGACATATGTACTACTAACATTTATGAAACTGGTTTGCAAAGCTCTTTTTGGAACTTCCTTAATGATAAATTTAACACATTAACTGTGCATGTGGAAAGTTTTTATACAGACTGTAGGAAGAATATAATGACTTATTGCAGAAGCTGATTTATTAAAATGTAATGTATCATTCCCTTATTGATTACTCCAAACAACAAATGCAATCAGCTTCTAGAGTAAGCTAAATGCTTCCATATTTTTGAGCTAGACCTAAGTATATAAAATCATTTAATAGCACTGAGTTTGTGATTTTAGTACCTTTTATGGTTCTAATCACCCAAAGGGCTTTTATTCATAGATTTTCTGTTTTGTGAAAGAGGATGAGAGGGAGAGGTTTAATCTTTCAGTCGTGTTTCAGCTGAAAGTGAATTTTTATATCTAAGTTAATTAAAAGATTTCAGATATGCATCTGTAATGAAGATTGTGACATTTTTAAGGGTTATAGCAGAAATACGTCTACTGTACACTGAGTAACTGAGCTGACATATTTTACTACATCTTCAATATTAAAATCGGGTTTACAATACTGTTTTGTGTAGTGTCAAAAACAATATTTACTTACCCCTTTCTTTAAACATATTTAATATATTATTCACAGTTACCTCTAGCGAACTTTTGGACTACATGTTTCCTTTTCTGGTTAATATCACTTGGTTTAGTCATGCTTTTAATGGCCTTTAGAAGGTCCCTTGGAGTTCTTCAGATAACAAACAAGAAACAATCCCTATGAAAACATCAGAGACTAACTTTTCCATTTCTCAGACCTTAACAGCAGGAAGCTTACGAGTCTTAACAGCCAGACAGGGTCAGATTTGCAATATTGTCATGTCCTCAGCATTTGTATTTTTCAGGAAAAGACTGCAATTAATTGTGCTTCTGTGAAAATAGTTTGTTGTAGTTTGTTTGCTATAGCCTGCGCTATCTAAAGACTGTGAATACAGATAAAAAAAAATAAAGTGCATCAAATGCAATGAAACTCAACAACAACATTATCTTCAATTCAGAGTGCTGTATCATATATAATGGTACAGCAGTTTGTATACAGCACGACTATACGGAGGTTAAAATGTGTGTTTTCTTTGCAATCCAGATAAGCTCACTTTTTTAAACTTAAAACCAAGCAGTGTATCTTTTCAATAAATCTGCTAATGCTATAGGACAGCTGTTAAATAAACAAAGCTATAGAGAGTTGCTTGAAAAATCCATGAAGGCAGTACTGACAATCTGGGAAGAATTTGTTTCAGCTAACATTTAGTACATTTCTCATCATATTAAAATGCAATTAAGTATTTTAAATTGTATTATACTGAGTCTAAAGCAAGATTAGATTATCACCCCTTGCTAAGTAATACCACTTTCAGTAACAGTAGATTAATAAACTTCAATTACAAAACACCTTTACCCTTCTTAAACAGCTAGAGGAGGACATACAGTTTCTTTAATTTGGGCAAATTTTCTATAAATTGCATGACTTCTATGTTTCATGAAATGCATGCTACAATATATTGATTATATTTGACCTTTACTTAATACACATTATGTAGAGCATTGCTTAGAGAAAACAGCATATTTATTTCCTTTCTTAAAGTATCTTGCTATTGAATATTAACATTTCCTTTTATTCCAGCTCAGTTTGTGATCTAATAATGGCTAATTGTTATGTGCTAAATGCTAGGTACTCTTTTATGCTTTATTGATAGAGGAACATGTTAAAGTAGCATTATCATAAACAAATCTATAGGCATTTATTTCTCAAAATAAGTTATTTTTCTTTCTTTGTTTTATTTTTTTATTTAATTACTTCTTGGGAAAGTAAGGCTTTTGCCATGTACAGTACTAGGTTGCATGTATTCATTTAAATACTAAAAACTGTAGTACTGCTCAATCCATATCTGACTGCTAGGTTTCAATTGACAGCTGAGAATTTGTGACTGGACCATGAATCAAAACGGCAGGCATTTATACCCCAGTGCCAGTGAGGATACATTGGGAATTACTTGGCAAAGGTAACATTTTAATTATTTCCACCCCTACACAACCTCTAAAAAAGTTGCATTGAGCTACAGTATCTGTTTTAGCAGCCCTCCAGAGGAATATGTGACAGCATTTGATCAAAACATACATCTAATATTTCTCCCGTACACGTTCAGGTTGTCTTTAGTGTAAGCTGAATTTAAAAACTACCTTAACTAAGCACCTGGAATGGCATTTTTGTGCTCTCAAATGCAAAGAGTTTGCAAATTTAAGGGAGTACTAATCTTAGGCTTTATATATTAAAATATCATTTGCAGAATTAAAGGTCATATTTTGGGGGTATTAGTGGCTAACACAAAGAAAATGGTGCTGTTAGAGGTATAGATGAGTCTAACAGTGAATGTCTAAGGTCGTGGTGGTTTTGCACAGTTAATCTGACTAATCAGCTCGTGGAGACCTAGATCACTAATGTGTACATGAAAGTAAGATATAAACCATGTTATTTTTAAAATAAATATTTTTTTAAAAATTAAGAATGATTTACACATATGAGAGCTTCTTTTTCTGTGGGGAAAAAAAAAATTAAACACATAGCCATTAACCTTTGATACATTAATAAATTACTTATTATAATCTTTTACATCTCCTAGTATTAATGAATTATGGTGAAAGTAGAAGTGTGTTTGGCTAAATAGGTGTGTAAACAAAGCATTATAATTATGATACATCAGTTTTTCACCTCTTTATTGTGCAAGTTTGTCTATAACAGTCAACACTTAATGAGGGTTATATGTGTAAAGCTTGTGAATTGGAAGCCTGTTACATGAAGTATTAGCTACTCACTCTCAAATTTAAATAGCTTTCAGACATTTGTGAGCACATGAAAGTATATGTACTTCTGAAAAGTTTGTGTAACTATGTGTGTGAGTGCGTATATATATTATGTACAAAATGTCCTTTTATACACTGTATTATACAATGGATTGCTAGATTTGTGTGTGGTTTGTTTTTTCTTTTTTTTAGTATCAACTTGGAAAGGTGATTGTGGAATTAGAAAATTAGTACTGTTTACAAAACTGAAGTTTAAATGCCTTGAATATTTTTGCTTTACATTTCCTTTTTGCAATTTTTCTGAAATAGTAGTTTAAACCTGGGAGAATTGTGGCAGAAAAGCAAGGTATTGTCATTTATTCTCTTATGGATTAAATGGCACAATGGAAAGCTAGTTAATGGATTCACTTCATCTCCTCCAAGGGCTATGATTCACATTATAAATCCCCATCATGCAGTAAGTGCTGCAGTTTTCAATGTCCTGGCAAGAATGAATCCAAACTGAGCTAGTATAGCACAGAGAGGGTGATTTATTCTCCCAGTACAAAAAGGTGTTGCTTTTTCAGGGCATTGACAGGTGTTAGGAAATTATATCGCAACTGCCTCTCTAAGAATATCCTTGAATGGTTTAAATCAGTCATCACTCAACACTCCTTTAAAGCCATGCCAGTTTATACAGGCTGAAGCACTGTCCCGCTGTTTGTTGAATTCTGTTCTTCAGTACCCATCACACAAGACCCTTGGACATAAACTATGGAAAGAAGAAGAGGAAAAATACTACTAGGTTGTGACCAAGGAAGCTTTGGTGATGAATACAGGCATGTGCCATGATCCACTCACCTTTGTAGACAAAACTGCTTTCTAGGTCGCTTCCAGAGTGCTGCCTGTCACTTTGACCCTACCAACACACAGAAGTGCTGCCAGATGAGCTTGGGCCCAATTTCTGCCACTGGCATCTCTTTACAGGCCCAGGCTGTGCTTACTTGGCCTTGAATTAAAGCACAGCTTTCGAGGACAAAGAAGCATACTGTTATACTTCCTAAGTTGATGACTTTTAGGATTTAAGCTTTGGAATGTTACATTCTTCAAGTCCCATGTAGGTGAGGATCTAAGAAGACAAATGATACCTTTGCAGGCTAAAGAGCAGTGAGACCTTCTAAAGCTAAAACTAACACGCACAGGGAAAATAAACAAACAAAAAATCCCCATATTGCTAAAGGAATTGTTGTTCAGTGGCGAAAAAAAATAACAACTGTTCTAATCCAGACAATGAAATTCTTACCCTCAAAGTGGTTTGATAAATGTTTGATTTGTGTGATTTCTTCAAATCTGCAGTGCTTGTTTTGATGGTACTTGATGTGACCTTTTAAACCAGGGGTTTTTTGTTTGTTTGTTTGTTTTTTTCTCTCTCTTTTTTTTTTTTTTAAGTATAACAATTTTTCAGAAATATCATTGACCCCAAGAAGGTAAAAAAGTTGGCAGTGGCTCAAGTTAGCTGTCCTGTTTCTACAGAAATCAAGTGGCAGAGGTAGCCAAGCTGAAAGCATTGCTGGTGAACTACAGCTTGGAAACTTGGAGGGAGTGAATGACCATAAAACCTCTGTTACTTCTGTGTTCTTTGCCTTATTAGTAGCTGCCTGTCATACCTGATAGTAGATATGATGCATAGATTTCAAAATGCATTTTGTGGGATTTTTTTTTCATATAAAACAGTGTGTCTATATGCAAAAGATTGAAGTATGACAGTAAACATGAATAGTACAAGAAAAAAACCAGACAAACCACAAACAATCCCCCAAAACTTTAAGTTATTGATGCACCATTTTCTTCAAAACTAGAAGACTTGCGAGGAACAGTGATAATAAAAACTAGGCTCATAATTTGCTCAGGTGAGTAGGTCCCAGTTGTTCTCAGTTATTTGGTAAGATATTTAGAAATAGTAATTTTTATTTTACTCTTCCCATTACCATTATTTTTGTTGTTGTTGTTGTTGCTTACTTACAGCATTTATGGTATTTATTTTATGTCTGCTAAACTTTGAAGAATATTTATGCACACTAATATAATTAAGTTCTCAAGTACTTTTAAGATCATTTAGGTCTTTTTTTTTTTTTTTTCAGTACATACGAAGGAGATACTTAGACTCCATTAAAAAAAACCCTAAACCTTCTATTCTCATAACCACAGTTCTGCCACTATAACTGTTTTCCTAGAGACAGAAGGTGAGGGGAAGCTGTGAAAATCTGTAAGGCTCGTTTAGGAAAATACTGTCTTGAGTTGCCATGTGAGAGCAAGAGCATATGCAACAAGTAAACTCAAGACATGAGAGTGAGAAAAAAACGTGTGCGTCTAAGTCTGATAACATGAGCTTGAGCCTGAATCTCAGCCACTCATGACGCCATTGATCTTACTTCCAGTGGGGCCACTCATAAAAGCTGGCATGATGGGTCTTGCTCTCAGGAGAGTATTCATGAGTATATCATGAGTATTTTCAAGTCTTTGACAGACTGTAAGCAAATTTTCATTACCAAAGCGTACATTTTAACTCAGCTATTGAGAAATATATTTTTATTCCCCACTATTGTTATTTATAGTCTTTTTTTTAAACAATTTTTCTGTGAGAGTTTAACTGTTGCTCTGGCATTACATTTACACTGCCCAGGCGAATGCCGTAGGTTTCCTGCTTTCTGTGTGTTATCTTGACATATAAGCACAGTACAACAGCTGGTTTGTTCCAGGAGATGCTGAGGGCAGCTCTGTTCTCAGAGTGCTGAATTTATTTCTCAGCTCTAGCTGTAGGGCTGTTCAGCTTTCTAAGCATCATCTCCTCCCCCAGCTCCTGAAGTTTATGATAATCACGCTGATAAGCAATCAAATGGGATAGTCTTGGATTTTTGGAAGAGGTAGCGGGGGTATTGAGAATGGGTGCAGATTGCTTTTGTAGCACAATACCTTGTGTGTGTTTGGTACTGAGTGAATACAAAGATAAAGTAACACAGTCAGCAGCATTGCTGTGGCAGTCGCATTTTGGCAAATACAGACACCTGTTAGAGCAAAGGTTCATAGCCTCCAGCCCCCCCTACCTCCTCGCCCCAATCTCCTTGGGCAGTGTTTTGGAATAGAACTATCATTTCATTACATTATAAGAATAAAAATGCTGAAGTATCCTAATCGTTAATATATTCATAGGAAGAAAACCTAGTGATTTCTGGTCTTTATCAGTTTAAATTGCTAACTCTCATAGTTTTGTCTGACTCTGTAATGCAGAAAGATGTGCAGAACATTATGTTTCCTCCTCATCTAGGCAAACATCTTCAGAACACTTCCTAAGAAATTAATTGTGTTCAGGCCAGACTTGCAAGCTGCCATCCCACAGGAAATGGGTCAGTGATCCATTAAGATGCCATTAGATAAACCAATTTGGAACTTAATCTCTAAATTAACCATGCTCCATACTTGAAGCATACTTGAGAGAAAGAAAAAAGTTTATGTTTGAATCGATAGGGGAGCTGAAGCGTGAAGAAGGCTGTTTGTTTTTTCTGTAGCTGTGGTCACGTCTCAAGCCGTCTGGTAACCAGGAGAAACCAGACATGATGTAATTCCAGATTGAACTTGAACTTCAGGGACTTAGAATGGGGGAACAATGGACCATAGGAATCAATAATGTCCATTTTCCACATGATTATGTTTGGAGCTTTAAGTTAACCTTTATGGGAGAAGCAGCAAGGACTGCACTGTGACCAAAATGAATGAGATGATGAAGAAGCAAGATGTTAAAGTAAAGAAAACAACTTCAGTAATATTTTCTGAGCAGCACTGCAGATTCCAGTAGGATTAGAAAAGTTCCCGCTCTGCAGTGAACTCGTTGCCTGTTCTGAGCACTCTTTGTTCACTTAGGTAGGACAAACTTAATCTTATGTTTCCTGTCAGATGATTTTTGGCAGCACTGCTAGGGAAGGAGGAGCATATTATAGGATTCCCAAGTGTAAACTGTAACTTTAACCCTTTGGTTACTCTGGTTTTCTACTTGATCACCTTACCTCCAATTGTTTCTTGTGAAGCAGTAAAACTACACTGTTGGGCTTTGGAGATTTTTTTTTTTTTTTTTTTTTTTTTTTTTTTTGGTGCAGTTAGGATTATCTGCATTATTATTTAGTCATGGTAATTTGATATATAAACTTTTACTCATATTTTTTAAAAG